TGCACGCGTGTTCCATGTTGCACCTCTGCCGTGTGTGCGTGTGCCATGTTGCAACACCGTTGTGCATGTACATGCTATGCTGCACCAGTGCCATGCACACATGTGTCCTCTTGCATCTCCACTGCACATGCGTGTGCCACGTTGCACCACCAACGTGTATGGGCGTGCTGCATTGCACTACCACCGTGCCTGCAAGTGCTGCATGTGTGTGTTGTGTTGCACCACCGCCGTGCACACGTGTTCCGTGTTGCACCTCTGCCGTGTGTGCACGTGCCACATTGCAACATCGTTGTGCATGTACATGCTACGCTGCACCAGTGCCATGCACGTGTGTGCCGCACTGCACCACTGCTGTGCATGCACGTGCTGTGCTGCATCATCACCATGCATGCGTGTGCCACACTGAACCAGCACCGTGCACACGTGTGCCATGTTGCACCTCTGCCGTGTGTGCGTGTGCCATGTTGCAACACCATTGTGCATGTACATGCTATGCTGCACCAGTGCCATGCACACATGTGTCGTTTTGCATCTCCACTGTGCATGTGTGTGCCACGTTGCACCACCAATGTGTATGGGCATGCTGCATTGTACCACCGCTGTGCCTGCATGTGCTGCATTGCACCACTGTGCATGTGTGCGCTGTGTTGCACCATCACTGTGCATGTGTGTTCCATGTTGCACCTCTGCCATGTGTGCATGTGCCACATTGCAACACCGTTGTGCATGTGCATGCTACGCTGCACCAGTGCCATGCACGCATGTGCCTCAGTGCAGCACTGCTGTGCGTGCATGTGCCGTGCTGCATCATCACCACGCATGCATGTGCCGCACTGAACCAGCGCCATGCACACGTGTGCCATGTTGCACCACCATCACGCTGCCCAATTCCCGGTTTTGCAGGAGCATCCCTGCTCCCGCCTCCGGATCTCGTCGGGGTGCAGGATACTCACCCGGGCGCAGTTCTCGGTGCCGGGGGCGCCCGGCCTGCCCGTGTCCTCGGCGGGGGCCGCGGGGGCGGCCTGCAGCTGGGCGGAGGCCC